GGCTCAACAAAAGACACAGGTTTCACAGACATCTCACAGAGATACCACGGGGCAAACTGTTCTAACCTTGTTCATATGGTTTTTAACATTATGTCTTTTATACTTACATTGCCAATACACAGAAGTGCGCTGCAGGATCTCTATGTATCTCTATTCCACTGGAAAAATATATTTAATAGCTAGTACCAAAAGTGAAGATGTTTGTATGAGTTTCAGCCATGACAAGTGGTTCTTCACATTCCTCAAACAGTGCTTCAAGTTCAATTTATTCATAAATGTAATTCTTGTCTTAGTGGCATGAAATCAACAAAAATGACATTTAGTTTCTCGTAGTAATAATTTACTAGCATTAATGATCAGGAAACCCAGTATTTCTTTGTATAGTTAAAATTATGCTCAGGGCTGTATTTCCATGAACTACAAATTATTCCCATTACTAGAAAGAAATGATAAGAGCAGTGGAATTGGTGTCACTAAGAGAACTAATACTGTGGATCAATGCCTTATTTACTAATGCATACTAAGCCACAGCCTAGCAGGCAACAGCTCCTGCTCAAAAGGATGATGACACACTTCCAGCCATTAAGGACATGAAAAGGGTTCATAAATGCAGCAACTGTTCCTGACTTTCACAGAAAACTGGTGGGCTCATCCTAATGTGTCACATATTAAAATGGCTCCATGGACAGGAATGGTTCCATGGAAATTTCACTTTGAATCCAGGCCTGTTCTTTTTTTTTTTTTTTTTTTTCACTAATAAATTTAATTTCATGTAGACTGAATGACAAATCCATCCAAATTCAACTTTTTAAACTAATCTATTGCATACTCTATTTTTTGTTCGCTATGATAACAATTCACTGTTTAGTGAATCAGTGCAGGACAATCAAGAAAACTTGGTGCTTTAAATGGAAACTACCTGCAGTATTGCAGGCTATCTACATAAAGGCATAGTGCTAAGTAAGTACTATTTATGTATGCAAAAACTAACGATTCTTATTAACATATTGAAAATCCACTATTTAGTAACATTAGAACTGGCACCTTACGATAGTACACCATTTTCTGTGGGCATAAGTCCATTAATTGAGGAACATATTCTAATTATATCTTAATATTATGCCTGAAAATCATACATATTATGTGGAATTTTAAAGAAAAAACTACATATGCCCTTACTAAAAGGTAAAAAAGTGTCTCTTTTTTTCCTGAAAAAATATGCGAAGAAGTTTTGACATTGAATTTGGGTGGGGTTTTTTCCTTTCCCTGAAACAGTGTAATTTTGGTGGTTGTTCTATTACTGCTAACTATCTCATACCACAGAATAGTTCATTCATTATTTCTAATACTACTATGCAGTACTCTTGTATTCCCCCCCCTTAAATCCTATCAGAAAATCTCACCCTGTAAAAATAATTCTACGTTCTTCTAGTAGCTACTAATGCTTGTTTTCTATCAGTCCATATTGCATTATCATCTCAATACTTATTATGCGGGTACTCAACCTGCCTTCCTATTACTAGTTACCAATCACAAAATATAACATGCTTTAATATTTAAAGTATTACAATCTCTCATTTTCTGCTCATTACTTTTTTCCTATCTATGCAACTGCTGCATAGTCATTGCTCTGGTCATTCTTTTCACTTTCCTGTGGACTGGTGATTGTCACCCTTGGAGTCGTGGATGTTTTTTCCAGATGGGAATCAACCTAGAGAAAAAGGACAGGTACTGTTAAAATCCTTGGGTATCAAAGACTTCCCTTCATTTCAATACAGGATTAGCACGTTATATTAAAATTTCCACAAGGTATCCTTAATGTGAAAAAATGTTTTCCCAGAGTGATCATGTTAACATTTTTATTTACTTTATACTTATATACCTTCCAGAGGAGAAAGCAAATTTGAGGTTTCCCCCCTACAGTTCTTTAATCAAATATCCAGTTACCCACATATTATCCACTTAAAGTGAATGCTCAATCACTTTCTCCAGTTCCATAAATAACTTCAGCTTTTCTAAAAACAGATAAAAAAATAATATATCAAGCACAGAGAAAATTCAGGGCCCAAGAAAATGTCGTGTTACTCAGGTCTTTTAATTGAAAAATGTTCTCGTGTGCCAAACAGAAACAGAAGAAAGCCCAGTTACAAAGTGTAAGAAACCATTACAAGTGTCACAAGAAGCAGAGGAAGACTGTTTTTCAGCAGTCTATAGGCAGGGAATATGTGTCAATTTGTTCTGCACTGATGTTCAAGAATCCCACTCTTCCCAGATCTGGATTCTCCCCGTCAAACAAAACACTTTGATTCCCACATTCTGTTAGCTGGTCAGTTCATGTGACAGTCAGGGCAGTCCACTTGATTTTTCTGGGCTGCATCCCTCCATCTAAGCCAGCACGTTACCATGTCTCCTAAATTAATAGGATATTTGCTTTTAAACTGACTAAAGCCCCTTGCTTCAAAGATCTTGTTCATTTCCACTCTATTTTCCAATTTCTAAGAAAAGGAGATGAAACTTCCACAAAGCAATGGCAAAAGCCCTTTGCAAAATGCAACTTCTGTGAAAGTCAATTCATCAAAATAATGAGGTACTGTAGTGTCATAAACACACCCTTCTGCTCTGTCCTAAAAGACAAACTAGTGTGGAAATATATAATGACTGTGCTTTTGTGGAAATTGGAAGAATTTTTCTTATTAGTTTTTTTCAAAATTCAGCATTCTAAGGAAAGCAGGATATACAGATTCATCAACTATTGAGAAACATCTGCTTTCTCAGTTGGAAGGCATATAACGTAATTATTGATGTAACTGATCTATACAGATGCAAACCAATTTTTCTGTAGCCCAAAGTTCTCATAAATGCTCTCAGGACTTTATCAGAGCTGAGCTACTTAGGGACCAGCTGAGAAGTGTAAGGCTGAGATGAATGAGGAACAATAACGTAAGAACAACAGTTTGAAAGACTAAACACTCACCTGGTTCTGATTGCCAGAATCCTCTTTTGTTTCTTCTTCAGGCTGAAGATCACTTTGGTAGTTCAAGTGCTCCATTCCCTCACCATCCTCTTCATTGTTCTTGCCATTTAAATGGGCAAGTTCCTCTTCCTCCACTTGGTCAACATTCTCTGTTCCCTCTGCTTCACCTTCATAATTTTCATCTAATTTCTTTTTGTTTTCTTCCCCTTCACTTCTTTCTTTAACATTTTCCCCGCTTTGCTCTCCATTCACTTCTGGATATTCTTCCTCTCCTTCATATGCCTCCTCTCCCCTGTCATTTTCCTCTTCTACATTTTCTTCTTCATCGACAGTTTCTGCTGGTCTCTGGTGAACGGAAAGGCAACATCATTATGAGACATTTTAAATCCGAATGCTCCATGAAATTCTGAAATATGACAGACATCAAATTCACAATTAGATCATTACTGGGAAATAATGATAATTTGAGGTCTGTCTACATGGACAGAAAAATATGTTCCTGTACATACAGACCATAATACTCTTTTATTCCATATTTAAAAAATGTGTTGGTAAGATTTAAATTTATTATACTGGGTCAACCCATTTGAACACACTCAAAACAACTGGAATTACCTAGATTTTATCAATACAGCAACAGCTTTTGCGGTTATTCCAGGTTCTCTGACTTTCTAGCATTTAGTACATACTTGTTTAGAAAATCCTGTCACAATAAAATATCATACAGCACTAGCCCACAAACTGTTCCCCAAGAAGCATTTTACCTATGGACCAGGCCATGCCATGTCATTTGGACCTGCTGTGCAACTTGTTTTCTTTCAAGGTAGCTGAACATAACATACACAGAAAAAGTAGCTAGAGAGATGAGGCAGACCTAAAACTGGTCGCTTCCATAACATCATTCCCCTTCCCAAAGACCCCTCTGTGGGATGGCACAGTTAGGATTTGTTTGACATTTGGCAGCAGTTTTTTCCTACACAGAGTTGGAGGAACCGGACAGGAGGAAAAAGATCTTGTCTCATACTATAGAAGAGTTATCAGAAACTCACTACAGATAAAGCTGCTAGCAGCATCATTTCATGACAGCCTGGAAGACTGATGCACATACTGTCTAGTTTTTTGTCATTTTTCTTCCAGTTTCAGTTTTGAAGAGCCACCTGACTATTTAGTGAACCAATGCCCCCACTTGCCAAGACTATTTATGTAGTGCTCGTGCTAAAGTATGAATGAAAATAAAGTGAAAAAAATCCCACAGGAGAAATAAGGTGTCTGTGTCCCACACAGCCTCATCAGACTCTAAATCTAAAGCAAACAAGCTTAGAGCAATAGATTACCTCTTAATCAAAACTATTTGGAATTTTACTGTCATTAGTAGCTCCTTTATGCAGGCAGCTATCTGCTACAGACATGTAAGTTATGTCTTCTAAAAACTTCTTCTCCTCACTAGTACTAACATTTCAGAAGAAATTTCTCATCACCTTCAATATATTAGAAAAAGTCAGTTCAGCAAGACCAAGAATTGATTGAAGCCTCTTGATGAAACATCTTGCTCTCACTTTAATATCTAAGTAGCAACATTAAGACAACATTACTATGCCAGTGCACAATGCCACATCGGCACAGCTTCAAAAAGCACAAGGTATTGTGTTGTGATAATCCATAGAATGACAAATTACTAGAAATACTACATGGTCACCTGACCAGGTAAATAATGGTTCCATAAGTGATTTTTGAAGTACAGTCGTTCTGTGTGGTTTTTATTCCAGCCTTCCCGACTCGCTTTCATCTGGTAACATCAAACTGGCCTTATTACCACTAAAATAAAAATTTAACGTGCCAAGTCTTTACAGAAACCTTCAAAGAAGGCACCATCCAAAGCAGACCTGAGACAACCTTGGTAACACGCAGCACGTAAAGACAGCAAAGAATCTGTAGATTCATAAATTCTCAAAAGTTACCTGCTAGTCTTAGACATTATCTACTAATTTGTTTTCAGTCTGCTAAGGAAATTAGCAGCTCTGGATTCTGACCAGAAACAGGGGAGAGTAGGACAAATTAAACACATCAGATACCCCTAGCTAGGAGTGAGTTTGTTTTTACTTAGTGACACCTGCTTGCTATGACATTACAAACACCAAATGAAGCGAGGATACAAAAAGAAGAAAAATCAACACAGACTTTCTCAGTTAACAGTTGTAGTCATCCAAGATATTCTGATTTCCAGCTTTTAGCTGCTGCCTGATAGTGGATGCCAACAGAAGAGTACACATATGCCCTTGCCTGCACTGGTTTAGTATGGTGGCTGCTTCTGGACTGCAGAAGAAAGTGTATAGACTTTATGCCATGGGGTAAAATCAGCATATGTATGCTGATTCATATGCTTTAACTGGTTTCACTGCTGTGGAAGCAGTCTTTAGCATGGAAGCACAATGGATGGAACTTTGAGGGGCAGTAACTTCCTGGAGTGCCACACTAGCTAGACTCATTTGACCTTATCTGTCTAAAATAGGTGTGAATGCAAATTTTTTAAGAGTCAAATCTGAACAACGCAGAAAATAAACACTGCATTACTGAACCGTACCCAGAAACTCACTGGAAGCTCACAGGTAACTTGCCATGAAATGACATTCAAACTCCAACTAATTTAGCTTGACCAGTCAAGCTAGATTGCCTGAAAAAAATTATAGTACAAAAGAGGATCAGTAAAACAAATCCCATCAGTGCAAGTATAATGCTTTTATAGTAACTGAAAATTTCAAGGTAGCTGAACATATTACTACAACGGTTATTACTGCTACAGACAAAAATAATGTTTTCAGCTAATAATTGAAAAGCAAAATGCATTCTTCATTTAATCTCCTTTCAAGCTGCACTACAAAACCCTGGACATTTCAAACAAGTTAAAAATCAATACTGATCCAGAGGAAAAGACCTTTCACAAGATAATGTAAAATGCAGTATGGTTCCCACTGAGTGCAGAGTCATAGGTAGGCTTTGAAATGTGATTATGACCACAGACTATGCATTTCAGAATGCACAGCGGACCTAAGATAAGACTGTATGGAGGGAACTGAAGGCCAAAATCACCCTCCAAATCATATATTTCTCTTTACATTAAAAAAAAGTGTGGCACTTTCTACTGAGATATTATTGATCTACTAGCTATGCATAAAATATAATTTTCTATTTTAAGTACACCTTAGATTATGCTCATTCCTCTTTTCACCTGAACTACTCATAATTAGGATTTTAAATTTTGCCTTTTGTATGGTTGAAAGAAAACAGGACATAACCTTCTTTTTTGCATTGCTGGCTGCATCTTTTAAGTGAAGGTCATGCTTGTGCAGTTTCAC